TTCACAATGCAGTCCCCGTCAAACATTCAAGGCGTTAACGAATTCCACAAATTAAAATTTTCAACGAAACGCATTAGTTTTGCAAAACGCTGGCAAACTTACGTTGCGTTTTACATCATTCACCTTTGTCGTCCGATGAATCAGCAGTCAGCACTACACAAACCTCAATGAGTTTGTGGTTTGTTTTCTTGCCGTTGGGGCGATCGCTGGCGGTCGTGGCGGCGGCACAATTCTTTCTCAGACCGTTGGCTGCTTCCTCCGTGCTCGCGGAAACATGGTTCCCTTTGTGTAAAAGGGAGGGTTTGAATCTTGATGCATGGCAACGCTGAATGAAGGTATATTACTGTCTTCATAATCTCAGCAAGGGTACCGTGCGAGCCACAGCACCACCACCACTTTCAGGCTTCATAACACCGGCACAAATATAGAAGCCAAGTCTTGCATCTCGCCAAGTGTTATATTGGAGACGTTAAACGCCACCTCACTGTGCTCTTCGACCCGGTCCTGCCGCCGAATGGGCTCTTCCAACAGCACGAAAGCATTCGTGTGCGCGTTGACCGAGTGACCGATCGCATGTCAAACCCCAGCCGCGGTCGATCCGACGAGCATCGCGGCCATGTTCTTTCAAGTTTAACTCGCCAAGGGTACGGTTGTCGAGTTAAAACAATGCAAATAGTCCCGTGCATTCTTGTTCTTACGTCATTTTGTCGTCACAACCCGAACTCGAAAAATGACTGTTAGCGGCAAACAGAGGCTTTCTAGTTTCACGAACGTTTCCATGGCAAAGAGCGTTGAATCGTCACGCGCAATGAAGCCAATGGGATAGCGAGGTACCTATGTAGGGACGTGTAAAAACGTGGAAGCCGTTTTCTTTTCTTTTTTCTTTTTTTTTTGCACGAGCTTTTCTGCAAATATAAAAATAAGTAAAAAAGACTGCCCGAGATTATGCCGTCGCGTCCATTTCTTCAGCGCCGAAAGAGAAGAGCATGGCTTATGGGGACTACCGTCGTAATCACTGCGGTGAGCAAAGCGAGCAAAGCATTATTAAAACTGCACGAAGAAACTTTCCTGCATCATCCACAGAATGTTCACAACCGGTGCACTCTGCGTCGATCTCATGACTAGTCATATATTAGCACAGAGTCGACGTCAGCTCTGTACCTATTTGGAGTCTCCTTCACAGGCGAACAGGAAATTTCATTTGCAGCTTATGTTCACGGCGGCTTCACAAAGGATGGTCGGTGTCGCAGCGTAAATTCACATAATATTTTCTTCTCGTAATGCCATCCGTATCGTGCAGAAACAGGGAAAGCAACCACGTAAGCGAGACACAAACACCGCAAGGTCGTTACCGCGGTTTTCGCCATGTTTGTTTTCAAAGACCGTAGCGAAAGACTTCGAGAAAAGAAGCTGAGATATCTTAGCTAAATTTACTTTACGTCATAATTATTGAAATAATATTTCGTATTTTATAAAAGGATAATATTATTTTTCTCTGTTTCCTTCCATTTTCCGGAAGGTAGCCTTTTCTCCGTTATTCGCTTGTTCTAAGTCCCGGAGGAAAGGAAGAAGATAACAAAAAGAACAGAGGGAAATGCAGGGATTTCTTCGCCCCAACTGGATGGACACGTCACCGCGACGTAGGGCATCGTCAGATTCTAGCTGACCGCGTGCGTGAACCCGAACGCTGAGGTGGAGCCTCAAACAAGAATCATTCTAGTTTGAGGCTCCGCCCCTTCTTTCTCGATACGTCACAACTCGAAAGGTACCCGTTTGCGACCAGAATAGCACCCCTGGATGGGCATCGTACCGAAGTGCGATCGGAAATCGCTACATTGTGGTGCAGGTTAAAGACTCGAGGCTAGCGGTTGTAACTGCACTGGCCTAATTGCTCATCTACACCCGAGACACCAGACGTCCATTGGGGGTGACTAACTTCCGGCTGTATTGACATACACACAACACAATATTTTCTTGAAAACGTTTTATCCTACGTAATGTCCCAGGAAGTTTTCAGTGGTTCTATGTTCGCAATGCTTCAACCATTTCATCAGCCGCGGCATCATAATAATTAACCGATTAATCTATATCCACCGATTAAACTTTTAAAATTATTAGCCTGCGCACGGTCCTCGCGTGTTTTGTATGCTCATTAATATCGTGCCGCTTGCCTCGCTATTGTTCTACAACAAGGAGTGTATTTTTTCCAAGTGCGTCTAGATAAGAGCGTTGGAGTGGAGGAAATGAATAAAGCATCACCTCACGTTCCACGGAACAAAGGACACCAAAGCGAGGAATGGAACTACCACATTCGCCATGACATGAGGTGGCGCCTGATCTGTATCCGCAGGAGCTGGTCTATTCGGCGCAAAAGAATCTCTAACCCAAAGTTTTTCGCGGTGGAAACGCGGTGGTGATTACACCAATGCACGCTGGTAAGGCCGGTTCATCGAAACCGACAACACTTGGAAAGAATCACTGTATAATCGTTGACAACTTGAAGTATGCAGGGCTTGTCGAGTGCCGTGAGTCTTATCGCTCTTCCGCCAGTGCGATTGCTACGTTTGCTATTATCAGATAAGAAGTTCTAAGATGGAGTCACGAAGTAAGAACCCCGAACGAAGTAAGACACAACTCTCAGTAAGTATACTATGGTACTCCGGTGTCGAGGGTAAAGTACCTAGTGGGTGCATGCGACTTGGTTAATCTTCAGTTGCTGCTCACGGTTGGACCTAGTTGAACACAAAAGTCGGAAGAGAGGACATTGTTTTGTGATAAAAGAGACAACTGGCAAAGTCGTCTAGCTTCTCCCTTCTGCTTCGGATAAAAGTACGAACATATGCAGCCTTTCTAGCACGACGCTCATAGCGCGAACAAGCGATCGCCGGGTTTCGCTTTCTTTCTTAGAATTTAAAGGTTATCGTGGCAACTTGTAAGCAAAGCGGAGAAAATTGGTACCTGCCAAAACCGTTTACAAGTAATGCGCGCAAAAATTGCCGATGCCGCGTTCGCGCTACCAGTCTAGCGCATTGTATGCGTGTGAGCATTCTTCCTCGGCCAGAGATTCATCTAGAGTGGACTCGCGGCGCCACCTGTTGCTCGTGCAGGAAACCATACACACACAGAGACCCAGTTTTCCCGGGAAAAATCATTGCTCTTTGTGAGACTGGTATGCGTGCTTCACCGCAGAACTTGGGGACCACCAATGCGGTAAATAGGTTCTCCAGCTGGCAGAACATGGCAAAAGGAGCATACCTGTTTTGTGACTCAGATTTATTCATTCTTGGCGTGATTTTCAGGCAAGCAGGGGTTGGAGCACTCTTAGCCAAAATATTTAGATGAGCCACTATATAGCTTCCCCGCGCAGATACAAGCCCAGTGAAGGGTCTCTAGCTTTGGTTTTTGTTCCTGCCCGAAAATTGCCACCTGACATGAAAATTAGTTTAATTGTTTGACTGTACCTATGTCTTGCCTTCTTTTTTCGTTTCTATGCAGATCATATTCCATGTTTCTTCACCTTATTACCCTGGATATACTATCACCCTCGCTCATCATGAACCACGGATAAATTGAATGGTCCACCTAAGAATGCGTACAGACCGACACGCTGCTCCCAAACAAGCCCGCGTTTGCCCAGACCAGGTGTGGGAACTACGCGAGCGCAGAAGCCAGGGTCGCGTGAGGTGAGACTTCTGCGCAGGCGCAGTGGCGACAACAGCCCTACCACAGAGTAGCATTAAAAAGGCTAAAATATGAAAAAAAAAATTGATGGTTACCACTAGCACACATTGAATGCATGTTTGAAAGACCAAAACAAACCGACATCTCTAGTGCATGCTTTTATAGCCTCTCATTTGATTTTTAAAGAATGTGGTTGGTTCTTGCATTTTTCATATTAAATCAACGTCCGCCCCAAAGAATCAAGCAAAGATAACTTGCCTCGACAGGTCTTGGCTTTGCGCGTTGCCACGTCTGAACCAAGTCGTGCGGTCTTCTTCTGGCAGTCCTATTTGTTGTTTTTTTTTTAAAGGGGAGGATATGGAACCGCACCCCTTCCTTGTGTTAGTTTTCTTCTTTTGTACCTACTACTGCCTCTCTTTTGTGTTGCTTATATATATTTTAATATACAAGTCAAGGACTAATTCTCCGTATTTGCATTCCCACGTTCGTTGCCGCGAACCATCACAGAGACCAGCAACGTGTTTAGATGGAACTATCAATATCTTCACCTTCAAACTTCCTGCTGTTCGATAGAAGGCAGATCAAACATTACACGTTTACACAGCGTGAGCACAAGGTTACATAGTATGGTCGACACTAAATATCGCTGTAGATGAGCAATTTTGTTAGTGCATTACCGCATGACTGCTAGCCCAAGGTCTGAAACGCACATCCCGCAGTAATTCAATAACGACTGCTGACCAGGCCTGTTTCGTGGCCAAGGTCTCACTAGATGTATTTTCCATGTTTTAACTGGCCTTTAAAAAAATTTTTTTTTTACAAACATTTGTAGAAGTGATGCATGACTGCACGCCAGTACAATGGTCATCCAGACCGAAATAGGCCGGGCGGGGTCATGTCTAGGATCCTTGGGTTCTACAGCGCGAGATAGAGCTTCAAGTGCTCCGAGCTGCAATCCGTTATCACGCTCACTCACCAATCCCACTCCTCTTTCTCTCTTCTTTCACTTTTTAGGACACTGCCCCTTACCTCCCTACTGTTGTGTCAACCTTTACTTTAATATGGCTGTATACAGCCGTATCATTTAGCTGATCTTGTTTTGCCACGAGAGTGGGTTCTTCGTCGGTCCGTCTGTCGGTCCGGTCAGTGCTTATCTCTGACCGACGCGACCGGTTTTTGGCTCGGGCAGTAGGGTGCTGGCATTCCCCCTCACAGAAGTCTACCTATCAGCTTGCGTACTGCGGTGGCGTACAAACAGGAAAGGAGGACGCTCTCCAGAAAAGGTAAAGGATCTTGTGATCTTCTCACCGGCGTGCAAATTTCTGTGATTATTATTTTATTTAACAATATTGCCGGCCGCCTGATAGGTGGCCAAGGCGAGAATGAGCACTGTTTTGCAGACTGTATAAGAAAACAGTACAACAAATAATGAAATCATATGTACCAACCACAACAACGCACGATGTGACTGACATTCACTTCAACACGCCCATCGATTTAAATGGCAAGATGTAAAGGCGCTACAGCAAACGAAAGACGAGAAACAAATATTCGTATGTGAATTCCGTGAACGTCTGTCATCCCTAAGGATTGTTTTTGTTTTCTTGCCGCAATATTTATGCAAGAATTTCATTCCACTAGCAGCACTACTCTGTGTTACGCGACGATTGATTCTGTCTAACAGTATCGCTTGGCGCGCTTGCGAAGAATGATACCGTCAATGATTTCAAGAAATCATCGCTCCGGAAGCCTGAAAATGGTAGCCGCACGTTTCTCCAAGTCTATTATATTCTTTTTTACTTCAGGTTCGACCGCGGCGGACACTATGATAAATAGAGCTGATTAAACATCATCTAAAATGCCTTGTCATGGCGATCGTTTTCTTTCTGGGTCTGCTTAGAGCCGCCAAATAAACTTCGCTTCAGAGTGGCGACACTTCAAACATCTCGGTGCTTAAAATCATGGTTGCCTTAAGATAATCTGAAATTTTATCTGAAATCACACGAAACGCTTTTTCGTACCCCAGAAACGTTAAAGCAGTTCAAGCCAGGGCAAAACAATATCGCTCGAGCTTCCCAGCACCCTTTCTAAAGCTGGTAGGGAGTCGCAATTTTGAATTGCGACGATCGACTCTTGCGACTACTCTGCACTAAACACCAAGATGGCGTCGCCCACTGTAAGGTCAGGGAACGGAGTGCCGCTACTCTAAACGTATAGTTCGTTTAGTGACTCTAGGTCCTGCCATCACCAGCTAAACCAATAACGCATAACAAACCCGAGGGTGATTGGTTTAACCGGGGAGAACAAACGCACGAAGACAACGAGCGCCGTGACGGTGCACTTTTTGGCGCTCCCTGATTGGCTCTATCGGATCGTAGCGTTGATTGCGATCGGACGTAAGGTGGAACGGTGTAGAGTGAAACGTCGCTAAGGCTTCCAAGTGCTTTCCATCAAGTTCTTTCTTTAACGTGACTACATTCGAGCGTTGTTCTTGCGCATATTTGGGATGTTAGCCGACGTCCTTACTTTGCTGAACTAAGCCACCATGATAGATTAAATGCAGTCCAAACACAAGTTGTGCAACTTTGAACATAGTATATGGCAGCTTCACGGAAGCATCCGTTTTCAGGTAGGGACAAAAACCTGGAGTTTTGCTTTCTGTTGTTTTTCCCTTTGTGATGGGTCACTGTGTAGGCCCCAAATGGTTCTTCTACCCAGTCAAGTCTCAACACGTATAACGCAAGCACTCCAATTCACAGGTCTGAGCGTTGGCCATCCAGAGTCCTATCCTGGCACAAGAATGACCTCGCATCATTGGCGACCTCCAGGAGCACTTCCTTCTTCCAGATGAACCCCGACTGTTCTCGCTCACCAGCACCTAGCGCCACGAGACACTGCAAGCTGCTTCTGATGAAATCCAACGACAACGGACTATAGCTACGAATTTGTCCCGTCGCCACATCTTGCCGCAGGCGTTCCTGACACGCAGTGACAACCTCGCGTTCGTTTAGGGCACCCTGAAGCGCCACAGAGTCGGCGATGGTGGCAAGTCCCAAGAGGAAAGGCTCCAGGCACGACGCCAGGAACTTTGTCTTCTCCGGCGCAAGTAGGACGTCGCAGCTGGACATTGTGTCCAAGGACTCTCGGAAGACGTCTCCTTCCCTCCACTCTTCGTAGACGAACTCTGTTTGAAGAAGTTTGTTGAGGGTCCTGAACGCCTCGATGCCGCGTGACCCGCAGAGCGCCAGCTTGCAACAGGGTTCGATCCACTGGAGGGCTTCGTTGGAGTATTGAGCCAGAAGTAGCTGTGGCAGAATGTCCGGGTCTCCCTGGGCCGTGTCTCCCACGCGGACGTGAACGATGTCCCCGTCGATGGCCAAAAAGTTCCGGTGTAGCTTGACCTGCTCGTGGAACCACAGGGCGGATGGCTCGGACTCTAGGCGCACTCCAGAGCGCTGGGCTAGAGGCGCCAGCCAATTTAGCTGCGCCAGGAGCGTGGTTACGGAGGCGGAACCCTTGTGGACGCTTAGGATCAGACATGCCAGCGGGAAGTGGGTGGAGAGGGTGCCCCGTTGTTGCTGCTTGACGAGGAAGGTGAGCATCTGCGGCACGGAGAAGCCATCCAGGGCGAGGGTCTGGCGCGCGGACACCGGCGTTCCGAACCGTACCCGAATGTCGCCGAACTTGTCGCCCAGGATCTTTCGGGCGCTCAGCAGACTCTGGAAAGCGAGTAACCTTGTCAGATGTTTCGGTCAAGAAGCAGTGAGTGTATAGTATTATCAACAGCTGGCTTGCAATGTAGCCAGGCTGTGGACAACGATAAATGAAGACAACGTATATGTGTCTATGAGCTTATTCAAAGCACAAAAAAGCTGCAAAATTGCGGTGCGGTGTTTCGGAGAAAGCGCGCGTACAACACTGAAGAGCTGTCAGAGTCATTCTAATTTTCTATATCAATTACGATAATCCCTACACCCCAAAACCCAATATAACTTTTCGCTATTTGAATTATGGAAAAAGAAATCTAACTGGAAATGTTATTGGAAACCTTAAATCCAGTCTGAAAACCTGAAAAACTGGTAAAATTCATTAAGATTTCTTGTTTCATAATCCAGATAGCGAAAAGTTATGTTGGGTTTTGGGGTACGGTGGCATTTTCTGTGCGTTGTAGCACGCTTTTGTCTCAATACACTTTTCACTTGTCAGTCAAAAGAACCTCCTCAGGCGATGAAGTGAATTTTGAAGGGTTTCGTTTGCATACTTCCAAGTTTTCAAAGAAACATTTCATCAGATGTCATTGCGATGTTTGTTTGTTTAGACCAGTGTTGTGCCAAATACTCAATAAATGTATTGAAGATAAATACTAAATAACAGTTCGAAAATGAATTTAAAGTAGTGCTCTAGCTACTTTTACTATGGTGCCTGGAACGCGTCTCCGACTGGTGTGTTTACCACGGCCAAAAAAGTGGTCCCTCGATTTCCACTTGATGACGTCATAGAAGTGTCATGCTGTCATCGGTCGCGACCCTGGCGGCGTCTCAGCAGTTGTGGTACATATGGCAGACGCCTGTTCTGCTGCAGGTCGCTCTCAACCCTCTCCACTGCGACAGTTCACGGAAGCAAAAGCAGCCGGAAGTTGGGACGCCGTGACGACAGCGACACTCGCGTTGGCTCGTGCTTTTCGCCAGCATTTCCACGGCCAACCGCCAGGATCGCGACAGGCAACAGCATGACACTCTGGCTTCTGTGACGTCATTTGTTGCCACATTGGGACCACTTTTGATGTATGGGCGGGATAGGACGCTAAACACACCAGTCAAAGACGCGATCCAGACACCATACTTTTACTACGAACTATATTGAGTAGAATACAAATACTCTAAAAAGTAATTGAATTACTTTCGTAGATACTTGGCAAGTAGTTTGCAAGCTGGTAACATATCAATATAAAAGTCAAAAGGGGGTTCTCTATTTGTGATGACTTCGCCGAAAATCACGTTCAGCTCTTATTTTTAGGATTTTCGAAAAAACGCGCTTAGCTAATAAATCAAATTTACTTCAAGATAATTCTGGATATGTAACATAATGGGTGCCGAAAGATTTTTGGAACAAAGGGGGTTCACGTATGACGTGGCGGCAGGCTCGACTCGCGACGCATTCCGCAATAATTTCGTAACATACCTTGCCACGATTCAGAAGGCTTGACGCGTGCTCAGGCAATGCCTACCCCTAACAGCCTAGCTAGAAGTTGATGAGGCAACCAGACTTGTTGATGAGAACGCGAGTGATCGACAAGCGTGCATGCACAGGAGAAACACCGGCTCGAGGAGAGAAGCCTGTGTCGCTGATCAACAACCAAGAGCGAATATATTAGGCAGTTTTCGTAGATCGTTTCTTCCGTCCCGCAGCACTCTCCGCAACCCGCTACGATATCCAGAACTCTGCAGTGAAGGCCAGTGGAGCGCATGCGCAGCAGCGCGGTGTCTTTGTTGCGGAGAGCGTCATGGAGCAAGGAAAACGATTAACGAAAACTCCCAATTGTCTTTCCCCTCAAGGACGAAGGGGAGCGCCTGTATCTACAAACTGTGTGTTTGTCAAACTTTATTGTCAAAATGAAGCCCCGTTCAATGCTAGAAAGGGGACTTGATAAAAAAAAAAAAAATATATATATATATATATATATATATATATATATATATATATATATATACATATTAGGATGGTCAAGAGGGAAACACCGGTGACAAAAGAGAGTAAAGGCAACGCAAAAAGGTTATCTTTGCGTTGCCCTTTAGCACGCGATTCTTTGAATACAGCACAAACTACGGGAGCACCAGATGTGTTTCAGAGCAGGTGCTGCATTTGGTTGCCTCCTTTGAGTGAGGATGCAGTGTGTGCACCTCCTGTAGTAGGCGAGAGTTTCTACGTTGGGGGGAAGCGGGGACCCGCCCTTTTTTTAATATGGGTCAAGTCTCCTTGAGCTTCGGGACACAAAGAAACGCCAGTCTTCGGCGAAAATCCCGTAGTTAGTCGGCCTCTCTTGCGTCGTATCCGTTCGCTCCCCGCGCCTCGTAGCAGTGTTGTTGCAAAGGGGAGGGGGCTTGTATAACTTTTGGGGCGTTTCGGACTCTCCAAAGCATTTTCTCTCCCCCCCCCCCTTTCCTTCCTACGCCACATGCTTCCCCCTCTTTGCGAATATCAGCTGATCTTCCAACATCGTATAACCAAATACCATTGACTACCAATACTGGAAACTCGAGCCAAAATACATGGGGTTGTCGGGAGACACAGAAGTGCTGCCATCTCTCGGTGTGGGATGGTAAACTATGAGCTCGAAATTAAAAGGAAAACAGTCATTCACTACACTATTTCTTCTCTTCACACTATCAGGAATTGTGAGTATATGGCAAATCGGTGTGCCGATTTCAATTGAGCAAGAGCTGATACACGGTATTTCTGATAATGAGGTGCGCTTCATATTAGCACTAAGTATTTAGATTATATAGACCTATGTATTACACCTAGTACAAATGACCTACTGGCAATTAGTGACTTTCTAGTAAATTGACAGTTTATGGACCTCTCTAAAGGCTATGGCTGTTACTAGCTGCAGTGACTGACTCTTTGCCGTTAGAAATAAAGCACAGCAATTCAAATAAGTAATTGCTCCATGGGTCATTATTTTAAATTCTATGAGATTCACTTCCAATGAGCCTGGAAATGCTACACGACGTAGTTATTACATCCAGTAAATGCTACACTGGCTGTTTAACGAAGAGTCAGTATTTATAAGGAAGTAGAAATAGTGTCGGGTTCAGTTTTACCTGTCGTTTTGGGGGCCTGGTTGGCCTCTAATGACTGCAATTACTCTTGGATTATAAGTCTGAGTTATTTGAACGAGTATAAACTAGATTGCCTTCCAACGGCTATTAATGGCTCTGGGCCAATATCCTAAGCTATTTCGGGGCATATAGACCAAGCAGCTGTTTATTAGCTAGTTCCATTTGTGATAGACTTTAATGACCATTAGTGACCATTTCGTGATATTTGTAATGTTATGTCTCAGATTGGATTTGAATGACTATTATTTGATATTTGATTTTATTTCCTAATTATATGGCGGATTTCGGTTCCAAATGACTTTTAATGACAATCAATGACTATTTGTAACTATTTTGAGTTATTTGATTGCGCGCGGACTCAGTTGGCTTTCAATGGTTAATTTTGGCTTTTTGATCAAATTTTGACATGATAGATATGTAGTTCAAATGACTTCTAGTTACTTTTAATGACTTTTGGCCACTATTTTGAGTTATTTGATTGTGCGCAGACTGAGCTGGCTTCATATGGCTATTATTGGCTGTGTGATCATGTTTATAAATTATATGGCAGATTTGGGGTCCAAGTTATTTCCGTGACTACCAATCACTATCGGTCACTTTTTCAACTTATTTGTTGTGTGCAGACTGAGTTGGCTTCCAATGGCTACTATTGGCTATACATTCATATTTATAATTATATGGCAGATTTAGGGTCCAAATGACTTCTAGTGATTGTCCATGATTATCAGTCCCTATTTCGAGTTATTTGATTGTGTGAAGACTGAGTTGGCTTCATATGGCTATTATTGACTATATGATTATATTTATAAATTATATGCTAGATTTGGAGTTCAAATGACTTATACTGACTATTAATGACTATTGGTCACAATTTTGAGTTATTTAATTGTGTACAGGCTGAGTTGGCTTCCAATGGCCATTATTTCTTTTATTTATATGGCAGATTCGTGGTTCAAATAACTTCTAGTGACTATCAATAGCTATTAGTCACTATTTCGACTTACCTGATTGTGTGCAAACTGACTTGGCCTAATATGGCTATTATTGCTATATGATTATGTTTATAAATTATAAGGTGGGCTTGGGGTCCAAATGACTTCTAGTGACTATCAATCACTATCAGTCACTTATTTGACTTGTTTGATTTTATGCAGGCTAGTTGGCTTCCAATGGCGACTATTGGCTATACAATCATATTTTTTATTTATACGGCAGATTCGGGGTCCAAATGACTTCTAGAGACTTTCAATGGCTATTAGTCACTATTTCGACTTACCTGATTGTGTGCAGACTGATTTGGCTTCATATGGCTATTATTGGCTATATTATCATGTTTATAAATTATATGGCGGATTTGGGGTCCAAATGACTTCTAGTGACTATCAATGATGATCAGTCACTATTTCGACTTATTTGATTTTATGCAGGCTGAGTTGGCTTCCAATGGCTATTATTGGCTATAGGCATGTGTTATTGACTTGGTTGGCTCGAACTGCCAAAAAATGGCTATTAGTGCTTATTAGTCGCAATATTCTGCTATTCTATACTTATGAATGAAAATGGCTTCAAGTGGCTATTGTTAGCAATTGCATATCATCTTAACAATATCACCTTAAATTGCTTCAGAATGAACATTAGTGACATTTAGTGACATAGTATTCATGATGTTTTGAATATGAATGGATTCAAGTGTCTACTATTATTGGCTATGGGCAGTTCTTGGCCAAATTGGCTTGAAATGGCTGTACATGTCTATCAGTGACTATTATTGGCAATTTATGCAATTGGAGTGTGTATAGATTTGAAGGACTTCAACTGGATAGTATTGGCTATAGGCATCTATTCTTGACTTGGTTTGTTTGGATTGGCTATTATTG